AATGGCCAGGCGAAACAGGGGAAAAAGCTGAAGTTTCAATGAGCGGGGAATATGACTCACACAGGTACTGCAAGTCCCAAACGTAGGGGACAACGGGGAGGGGGGAAATGGGCATGGACAGCCCGTAGCTGGTACAAGAGTGCGGTAGCAAGGTCCATTCCGCTACAATATATATATATATATATATATATGTTTCGTTCAACCCCCCATCTGCTGCAAACATCATGTCTTATCTCTGCCAATGTTTACATTAGTCACATTTCTTTGCTAATGGCTGAATGAATAGAGTACAGAGAAGTAAAAATGTGTCTGTCTTTGCAATTTGTTGCAAAATGGAGTCACCTCTGTTTTGATGGTGACTAACAGTATACATTTTTAATTTCTATTTTTTTTTTTTAATTCTTTATTTTTACTGTGCAAGGTAAATACAGGTATATGTGAGGTGCCACAACAGCACTCATAGAGTAAGCAACAAACATTCAATTCGGCACTTGGAATCTGCACATTTTTTGTTATTATTATGTTGGATCGAGCTAGACACAATTTTTAGGTATATAGCAAATAGATGATACGTTAAAACTATGTCAGTAAGTAATTCGACAATATACTAAGCTCTAGAAACTTTAACTGACAGCATGGGGTTTTTTAGCTAGAGTGAGAATCTAGGAGAAGTGTTAGCTTAAACAAAAGTTTAACGTTAGTACACTCGTTTTATAGTTGGGTTCCAGGCTGTACATGTATGTCTGATTATGTGAAGCTATGGGTTCTGCATTCAGTATAAGTTAGCTATACATGTGGGTGGTTAGGTAAAACAAAGTTAGCTACATGCTTGTGCGATACAAGTTGGGAAGAAGATAAAACCCCTACTGGGAAGCAGGTAATTGCTAGGCAAGCAGGCAGGCGCTTTTACTTCCCCATAGCTGCGGCCATGTGGCCGCTTTAGAGCTAAATGGCCGCTGCTACAAAGCATCACAGGTCTATGTATAAAAGACAAACCGCAAAAAATAAACAAAAAAAAACAAAACTTAGAGTCATCAGTTGATGTAAGGCATTGTCCTTGTAGGGCTTTACGTTGGGGCTTTCAGCCTATGCCCAATGTCGGGAAGTCCCGGCCGCCGCTTCTACAAGTGTCTCTCTTGGAAACTCTGGGCAGGGTGCCTCCATATCTGGATGCAGCTTTGATGGTGTGCTGAGGGGTACGCTGTCGTTTGGTCTCTCGATTTGCAGCGTTGGTGGCGGGAGGTCGCATTGTGCTGTGCCAGGCACTGAGAGGTTGAGTTGGTGAGTGCTTCGCAGGTGTCGCTTGTAAGGGGGTCTTGCTGTTGTGTAGCTGCGAGTGGGAGCTTGCGTCTGGGAAACATGGATTCTGTACCCGCCTTGAGGGCCGCAGGGATCTGCGCTGGGGTGTGGGAGCGCGAACTCCGGTTCCCAGGAGACAAGGCCCTGTTTCCATCCATGCTGTGCTTCTGCTCCGATTCCCATTGGGAGCTGCTCTGGAGGTACGGGGGGGGTTCCCGCTTAGCTGGCGCCGGGTTGCCGGGCGGATCCATGCCGCCATTTGTCTCATCATCAGCCTGTAGGACTGCCTCCGGATTTTCAGCTTTGTCCAGAGGTTGTCGCAGAGCCGGTCGTAGAACTCCTGTGTGTGTTTGGGAGGCCTGATGAGTGCACGTTGTGTTGTGGATCTTGTCTGTGCCGCCATCTTGGGCGGGCCTTGGCGAGTCCGCTTTGTCTTAAGTGTTATCGCTTGTTCATGCTGTGCAGCAGGGGCATTCTTCCCCCGCAAGGACCGGGATATCCCCCGCCGGTCCGGAGGGGGGGGGTAGCAGGGCTGCCGTGGGTGCTTGTCTGGGCGCGTGGCACGTGTCGGGAGGTCGGCCGTCTCCTCTGGACCTCAGGCCCCGCTCCAGTTTAGGCCCCATGGCCGGCGTTGATTTTTCCGCCACGTATCGGTGCCGGGCCAGTACCATTTTGTGCCTCGCGTTCTGCTGAGTTGGTTCCCGAACACCGTATGCCTCTGGCGTTAGTGGGTCACTCGGTACTTGCGTGTATTTGCTCATTATTGCAGGAGCTCATGAGATGTGCAACCGGCCATCTTAGCTGCCAGGCCCCGCCTCTTTAATTTCTATTTTAACACAAAATGTCTTCCAGTGTAGATACCCTGACACTAAACACACACTCTCTACAACCCCATACACACACTACATCACCTATATCACCTATATACACACACACACACACTACAGCCCGTATGCACACACTTGCTACATCCCTTATACACACTATGCCTCCTTTACACACACTCTCTACAGCCCCTAGCCACACATTTACTCCACAAACACAAATGAAATTGACCTATTTATACAATACCACACCACAATCAGCTCACTCTACACACACGCAATCCCACATTTTATTGTAACGTAATAAAATGTGAGCAGGATATTGCTTTGCTGCCGATGGATTTAGATAGGTTGGAGGACTGTGCACTAAAATGACAGATGAAATTTAACGTAGAGAAATGCAAAGTTAAGCACTTCGGGGTCAGGAATGCACAAGCAACTTACACCCTAAATGGTAGTGAATTGGGGATAACCACACACAAGAAGGATTTGGGAATTGTTATAGACTACAAATTAGGCAGCAATATGCAATGTCAATCTGCAGTTGCCATGGCCAGTAAGGTTTTGTCATGTATAAATAGGAGCATAAATTCTCGTTATGAAAATATAATTTTGCCTCTTTATAAATTGCTGGTAAGACCACACCTTGAATATGCTGTGCAATTTTGGGCACCTGTTCTAAAGAAGGATATCATGGCACTGGAAAAAGTGCAGAGACAAGCTACAAAATTGATAAAAGGAATGGAGCATTTTAGTTACGAAGAAAGGTTAAAAAAATGTAAATCTCTTTAGTTTGGAAAAACGGCGCCTCAGAGGGGATATGATAACGTTATACATATATATTTGGGGCCAATACAAACCATTATCTGGAAATCTATTCATAAATAGGGCTATACATAGGACACGAGGTCACGCATTTAGGCTGAAAGAAAGGCAAAAAAAAAGTGTTTTTTTTTACAGAAAGAGCAATAAGGATATGGAATTCTCTGCCTGAAAAGGTGGTTTTATCAGAGCCCATACAGATGTTTAAACAGCAATTGGATAAATACTTGCAAAAACCTAACATACAGGGAAATAATTTCTAATTAGTGGGGTAATAGCTGCTTGATCCAAGGAGATATCTGACTGCTATTTTGGCGTCAAGAAGGATTTTTTTTCCTAGTTTGTTGCAAAATTGGAAGTGCTTCAGACTGTGTTTTTTGCCTTCTTTTAGCTCAACAGCAAAAACATATATGAGGAAGGTTGAACTTGATGGACACAAGTCTCTTTTCAGCTATGTAACTATGTAACTATGTAAGCAGGCTCCAAACACATGCACCATACTCTTTCCTGGTCCTTTTGTCCTCTGGTATCCCACTTATGGAGACACCAGAGACAAGTTAAAAGCAAACACAGCGCAAACATGTTATTACATTTGCTTGTGCTGTGCAGAACAAACACAGGCCCCTTTTCTCATGCTAGAGCTCTTCAGCGGGGCTCTGCGCATTGAACCAACATGCTCACTTTGAGAGCGGGCACACTTATCATTAGTGATGACAAAATACACCCTCTCTGGCCCCGCACCCTTCTCAGGGGGTCTCTGTGATTGAAAAATGCCCGTGCCAAATTTTTTCCAGTCTGGCCCTGCTGTCAACATTTATTCTGTCCGTCAATTACTTGGTGTTTTATAAACTCATTGTAAAGTGCTAGTGGATAGACTGATGCCGTGTAAAGGATAATGATAATAACAATAATAATCCAACTTGTCTGGTTACAACATGTCTGTTCACCCACCCATTGCAAAGCGCTGCGGAATTTGATGGCGCCATATAAATAATAACATAATAATAATAATAATTACACAGAGTAAACACAATAGATTAATCTTAGAGGACTTGCAGCAGAGCACATGTAGTTTATTCTCATTGGGCCAAGCATGCCATGCTGACATCCCACTTTTTTTGTCACCCCCGGACGGACTGCTACCATGATAGTATAGTCCTTAGCTGTTGAAGGAAGAAACTTTTATTAACCTTTTAACGTTGGCTTACGTCATGAAACAAAGGAGTCCCAACTTGTGTGTGATTGCATTGGTGTTTCAATAAAAGCCAAGCATAGTCACTATGAGCATTCCATACATGTTATCTTTGTTTAATGACCAGATGTGACAGAGAACCTCTAAATGGAAATAAAGCAGAATAGGGTCTGTCTCTATAACAGTGAACTGCCTATTTGAAATAAGGACACAAGGACTAACCACTTAGAAACATAGAATGTGACGGCAGATAAGAACCATTCGGCCCATCTAGTCTGCCCAATTTTATAAATACTTTCATTAGTCCCTAGTCTTATCTTATAGTTAAGGATAGCCTTATGCCTATCCCATGCTTAAACTCCTTTACTGTGTTAACCTCTACCACTTCAGCTGGAAGGCTATTCCATGCATCCACTACCCTCTCAGTAAAGTAATACTTCCGGATATTATTTTTAAATCTTTGTCCCTCTAATTTAAGACTAAGGGGCAGAATGTCCATAATCAATCTGGCTCTGTCACCAGTCCAGTTTCCATGCTTATACAGGACCTGACCACTAGGGGGCAAACGACCCATTAGCAGTAAGGCTATAAGGGAAGTGACTTGTTCATAATGAGCAAGCTAGTTCCCCATAAAGTGATTCGAGGATGACGTACTAGTTCCTGCAGTACGGATAGTCAGAGAGTACAAACTATACTCAGCTTCCTGTCGCGTTTGCGCGCTCGCGAGCTGGGAGGGTTAGAGAACTTGCGCGTGCGCAGTGGACGAAGGTGAGCCCGGAAAGTGCGCGCATGCGCACCACGCACAGACCACGCCCCTGAATCTCGCTTCCCGTCAGCCAGGGCCGCGCAGGCGCAGTGAGCAGTCGGTGTGATGGCGGCCGCAGTGTTGGCCGAGGGCTCGGTTTCGTCCGGTTTTTCTGGGATTATACATAACGGTCACGGCGGAGCGGCGGCGACATCTGTCCCCGGCCTGGGACCCGCTGCGTGGAACCGTTCGCTGGAGAGGTCTCTGGAGGAGGCGGCGGTGACCGGAGCCCTCAACCTGAGCGGCAGGAAACTGAGAGAGTTCCCGCGGAGCGCAGCCAGACAGGACCTCAGTGACACCACGCAGGCCGGTAAGGGACAGGATGGGGGGGCACTGCCAGAATGGGGGGTTACTGCCAGAATGGGGTAAGGGACAGGATGGGGGGCACTGCCAGAATGGGGGGGGGGTTACTGCCCGAATGGGGTAAGGGACAGGATGGGGTGCACTGCCCGAATGGGGTAAGGGACAGGATGGGGTGCACTGCCCGAATGGGGTAAGGGACAGGATGGGGTGCACTGCCCGAATGGGGTAAGGGACAGGATGGGGGGCACTGCCCGAATGGGGTAAGGGACAGGATGGGGGCACCGCCAGAATGGGGCTGCCAGAATGGGGTAAGGGACAGGATGGGGACCACTGCCCGAATGGGGTAAGGGACAGGATGGGGCACCGCCCGAATGGGGTAAGGGACAGGATGGGGGGCACTGCCCGAATGGGGTAAGTGGGACAGGATGGGGGCACTGACAGAATGGGGGGTTACCGCCAGAATGGGGTAAGGGACAGGATGGGGTACCCGCCCGAATGGGGTAAGGGACAGGATGGGGGCACTGACAGAATGGGGTAAGTGGACAGGATGGGGGCACTGCCCGAATGGGGGTTAGAGGGTTACTGACAGAATGGGGAGTACTAAAAGAATAGGGGGTTACTGACAGAATAGGGTTATTGAGAGAATGGGGGTTAAAGGAGGGTTACTGACAGAATGGGGGGTACTAAAAGAATAGGGGGTTATTGAGAGAATGGGGTGGTACCTGACAGAATGAGGGGCGGGGGGGGGAGGTTACTGATTAAGGATGGCACTGAGAGATAGGGGAGTGGGGGAGGCGTGCTGGCAGAATCGGGGGTACTGCCAGGGTGACAGGGGAATGGCATCAGGTGTCTGATCTGACTGTGAGACATGGCCCCGGGAGCCATAGCTGACTGGCAGCATTACTGACCGGGCCAGTGGTTCTCCAGTGACAGAGAATTGGCCCCTGGTTTGTCAGCTCTAGAAATCGGCTGTCCAAGCCTTTAATGAGCAATATATGCTTGTTCTTGTGGTATGTCTTCGTATACCACTTTCTTTACCTCTAAATCCTAGTAAATGGTATTAACTTGAATAACCAATGCATATAAGTATTGTGATAGCTTGTTTATAGGTCAATCTAGTCCCAGAACTAGCCTTTTAGTTAAAAAATCAACGTGTTACACAGTGTATGTTACTCATTGCATGACAACACTATGTAAACCTTTCTTTGATGTTTCTGAATATATGTCTCTTGCTGTTGTGCTGCAGAAACATTTGTTTGTTATAGAAAACGATTCTAGGCGTTCCATAGCATTCCATGGTCGGACTTGGTCCGTGGTCATTGAGTAGTGCAAGTGTGTGCCAGGATTTAAGGGGTGATAGTATGTGCCCTGGTTAGGGTGTGCTCAAGTGGAAGGGGGATTTATTTTACATGTTACTGCAAAGTTTTGTGTGCAGAGTTTGACTTGGTACAATGAATAAGACTAATCAGAGAAGGGTTTAGGATTAGACTTGTTTCCTGAAATTGTAACACTTCTTGTTGTAGGTAAGTGGGTTATGATTTAGGAGTTGGGCCAGAACAGTCGTTGTAGCATGAGATGATGGTGTACATCTTGATTTGAGTTGGACCTCGGTTTTAATAAACTGAGAGCCTCCCATCAGATCGGGAGAAATAGAGTTGGTAGATAACTTGAAATTACACATGAGAAGGGCAACACTTAGTTTCATTAAAACATAACTAGATAAAAATGTTCAAGTAGAAAATATTGCCTCAAAAGTAAAAAAGTAACAAGCTGATAACTATTATAAATGAAACTGTATCTTTCAGTTGCCTTTTCAGGACCTGGTTGTAAGTTCTCTGAAACAGTGTGGTAAATGACAAATTAATAGAATTTACAAAGTTTTCTTTATTAGTTTTTTTTTTTTTTAAACTCAGACTTACTGCCATATTTGTAATGTGCTGCAACTTAATATACCAGTTTATTTGTACACCTAAACCATGACACAGTATGTTTAGTTAGCAGATATTGCATACATGGGGAAATTATATACTTCTGGTTTGTGGGTCATATTATCTTGTTTGCATGAGGGCTTATTGAAAAGCATGGCTTATGGATTAGTATATAAAATATTTATTTGCTGCATTGAACCTAATATCAATGAATGATTTTTATTTATTTTACTAGCTTCTGTCTTATGTGTCACATTAATCTATTATAGTAAGTGGTCAATATTCCCATAATAAAGATAGAAGTTAGCACAATAGTATACAAATGTTGACATAAACATGTAAACTCAGTCATCAGGGAAAGTACTGACAATTTTTGGAAACTCCAAAAAACTATACCTTGTGTATGACCAGAAAAAAATTGAAGTAGCATACATTTCTGTGTATTTGTATAAGATCATTTCATTCTTACATTTTTGGTGTAGAAGTATATATTTGTATGATTTTTTTTTTTTGTGTGTGTGTGTGTGTTGGTTAGCTAATGTATTTGTTAACTTTAGGGGCCAAAGAGACGTATGTAGAAGTAAACCTTTTAGGGGAAAAAAACAAAACAGAGTACACCTGAGTCTCTAGTCTCAAAGTCAATTTAGCTGGGCCCCACTGGTCAAGTTGTCTTTACAATGGGGGCTGCAGATCTGTACTGCCAGATGTGCACCAAAACAGATACACAGATTGTGGCTGAGTTCTTGATGGAGACTACTTCACTGCTCTGTGTCGAATGCAAGCTTTATTAATGATGCTGGCAGCAACACACAGTACAGGCAAATTTCGCTTTCCAACTGGGCTGCCTGCTCTGCCGCAGCAAATAAGGCCGTGATTGCAAATCAGGCCTTTACGAGATATAGCCCGAAGGAGTGATGACCCTAACCATTACCATTTGTTTGTGAGTGCAATACCTAGATTTTGGTGGGGGTGAGGGGTGCTCTCTTTTATCTGCATTATGCTATGTACCACTTGTGATCTGTTTTTAGATCCCTATCCATTATGTTGGATTTCTTCCCCATTTGAATATTCCCAGGTAGGTTGTTAGCTTTTTTTTTTTGCAGTGCAGAGTTGGCAGGCAAAATATGTGTATACATTCCACAGGGTGACAAATAACAATACATGAGTGCTGCAGTGATATGAAATGTCGGGAGTGAACTGTACTGTTTTTTTTTTTGGTTTATAAAAGACAAGTTGAGTATGAGAAGTCATACAAAATGATCGTAACACGGGTCTATCATCATATAATTAAGAGATTAGCAAACTAGTAGAGAGTCTGTACATATGAAATAGGCAATATTGAAGTAGAAGCAAGCATGTTTTTAGATATTTCCGAACAGAGTTATGTAAGAGCAACTGGGCCCATTAAGAGGTTGCTGGTTAGCTTCAATCAGACTATGTGCACATGGTTATGTTCTAAAGAAAGTTATTGCATTTATACATGAGTAGAGAGCAAGCTAGCCAGGCACATTTGAGCAAAAAACTGGGCCTCAAGATGTGTATTACGTTCTTGGCCGGTGTCTAATCCTAAGAGAATAAGTAATTCAACAAGCTAAGTTAACATGATTAAGTGCCATTTGGTGTCCGGAGTATTAATAAACAATAAGCAATATATGGTTGAGTATGGGTAAAGATCATGCTTTATAGTTATCTAATTAACGATCTAAGTGCCCCTTACCTAGGGGGCAGTAGAGGATGGGGAGACATATTCTCATGAAGTTAATGTAATGACGGTCTAAGACCACGTACATGCTCCTAACAAATTAAAGTGGGCACATTGCAAATCAAAAGGGAAACTTAAGATAAGCTAATTAAAATTATAACTAGGCAACAAGGTGTAACATCATAGGCATCAAGAAGTAAGAAAGCATGAGACACAGCTGTGGCCCCTTTCCCTGGTGACATCCATCTCCTTGGTAGTCCGGTTCCGTTTTGAGTCGATGCTGCATTCCGTGGGACAAATATCACCTGGTTGGGATCCCAGGTTTGCTCTGTGGGGGCTGTTGTCAGGATTACTGTTGATCCAGCACGCAGAATAGTATCACACCTAGGACTAAGGATAACGTTTAACCGGACCTTAGAATGTATGAATAGGTGCTCTTCGGGGCAAACAATATGCTCCATCCGGGGATAGTTTTCTGGTGAGGTGTGGTGGTAGGATAGTGGCCATTAGGCGTCTCAAGTAGTGTGGCAGTTTTTCAGGTGGAACAGTGTCAGGTATGTCCCTGATTTTGATATGGTGCCGCTGATACCAATCCTCCATAGCTGCCATTTCGGTAGCAAGCGCTTGGTGTGAGGATTCAACCCTCTTTATAATGTTATGCATGGTGGACAGTTAGTCTTGTATATCAATTACCGTATTTATCGGCGTATAACACGCACCGGCGTATAACATGCACCTCATTTTAAGAGGGAAATTTTAGGAAAAAAAAACTTAAAGGACCACTATAGTGACAGGAAAACATACTCGTTTTCCTGGCACTATAGTGCCCTGAGGGTGCCCCCACCCTCAGGGACCCCTTCCCGCCGGGTTCTGGAGAGAGGAAGGGGTTAAACACTTACCTTTCTCCAGCGCCGGGCGGGGAGCTGTACTCCTCCTCTCCTCCTTGCTCGCGACGTCATCGGCAGGAGCCGCGCGCGCATTCAGCCGGTCGCATAGGAAAGCATTTACAATGCTTTCCTATGGACGCTGGCGTGCTCTCACTGTGAAAATCACAGTGAGAAGCACGCAAGCGCTTCTAGTGGCTGTCAATGAGACAGCCACTAGAGGATTAGGGGGAAGGCTTAACCCATTCATAATTATAGCAGTTTCTCTGAAACTGCTATAATTATGAAAAAATGGGTTAACCCTAGCTGGACCTGGCACCCAGACCACTTCATTAAGCTGAAGTGGTCTGAGTGCCTAGAGTGGTCCTTTAAGACAATGTCTTGGAAATGCTGTCAATTAATTTATTCCATAAAAGAATATCGGAGAGTATCCAATCTATACACATCATAAACTGTGTAAAAATGTTTAATGGAAAAAACAAACAAGAACAGACAAATACCAACGCCATCACCACGGTGATAACAGATAATGCTGATTCAAGCACGCAAGCGCCTCTAGAGACAGCCACTAGAGGCTCTGGAGGCTGGATTAACCCTCAGTATAAACATAGCAGTTTCTCTGAAACTGCTGTGTTTATTAAAAAAAAAAAAAGGGTTAATCCTAGAGGGACCTGGCACCCAGACCACTTCATAAAGCTGAAGTGGTCTGGGTGCCTAGAGTGGTCCTTTAAATTTCAAATAAAGAACTTCTTACTCCCCTTTCTTACTCCCCCCTCCCCCTCTTCTTACTTCCCCTTCCCCCTCTTACCCCCTTCTTACTCCCCCTCCCCCTCTTCTTACCCCCCATTCTTACTTCCCCCTCCCCCTCTTACCCCCTTGTTACTCCCCCTCCCCCTCTTCTTACCCCCTTTCTTACTCCCCTCCCTCTTCTTGCTTCCCCTCCCTCTTGCCTTTCTTGCTTCCCTCTTCTTGCCCCCCTCCCCCTTTCTTACTCCCCCTTTCTTACTCCCCCTCTTACTCCCCCTTTCTTACTCCCCCCTTTCTACTCCCCTTTCTTACTCCCCCTCTTCTTACCCCCCTCCCCTTTCCTCCCCCTCCCCCCTTTCTAGCTCCCCCTCCCCTCTTCTTGCTTCCCCTCCCCTCTTAACCCTTTCTTGCCTCCCCCTCTTCTCCTTTCTTCTCCCCCTCCTCTTCTTACTCCCCCCTCCCCCACTTCTTACCCCTCCCCTCTTCTTACTCCCCTCCCTCTTTCTTCTCCCCCTCTTCTTGCCTCCCTCCCCCTTTCTTACTCCCCTCTCTTATTCCCCACTCCCCTTCTTGCTCCCCCCTCCCCTCTATTTTACCCCTTTCTTACCGCCCTCCCCTGTAGCGTGGCCGAGCCGCTCTGCCATCCGCGGTGGCCGGCCGGAGTGATAGGAAGGTGCACGCTCAGTGTGCACCTTCCTGTCAGTCCGACCGGGTACAGGAAACAGAAACTCCTGTTCCGCGCGGAATTTTCAGGGAGAAAAAGTGCGTGTTATACGCCGATAAATACGGTATGTCTTTTTCAGAGGACCTCACTCTGTCAGTGACTGTCTTGATTACTGCTATATCCGTTTCTAGCAGTGTCTTGGAGGAAGGTTTGGATATCTTGTTTGCTAGCCAGTTACAACCCTCCCCTTTTATAGTGTTATGTCTAGGGGTATAGGCTGTGAAGCTGGTTCAGGCGGTACTGTTATGCCCCTGGACTTTCCGCGGCTGCCATCTTTTGCAGCGGTGGTTGCTGCAATAAGGTTCTGATATCCCTCATTTGGTAGTGGTACTTGTGGGTTGCCTTTGAGATCGACGCCCCTTTCCAAGGGTGTCTTCAGGCTGTTTGGATCGGGCAGGGCCCAATATCAGTGAATAGCGATTCAATCTTGGCAATGGTCGGAGAGAAGTAGGCCGCAGGCTTGCGTTTGAATATTTTGTTTAAATTTTTTTTTTTTTGGGGTGTGTGAAAGAATGGCATTCGTTGTCCGATCAGGAGGACACAGTGGTATGGTATCTGTGTGTCTTGTCCCAATTTGTGAGGGTAATTCAAATTTTTTGGCTGGGTTTGTGCCAACAGAGTTGTGGTGGGTAAAAAAGTGTGGATGAAAACCCATTCCACCGTAAGTAAGTGGATAGTTATTAACATTGCGAAACACAAATACACACACCAGTCAAGCCATAAGACTTGCTTTTCCAACAGAAATGTAACTTTAACAGTGCTCTTATTACTGCAAGGGATTCTGGGTAGGTGTATTTGTGTTTAGCAATGTAATTTTTTTTTATATATAATAAGAGTACCTTTTATTTAATGGATGGGGAGCTACTGATTGGTCTTTCAGATGGGTGAAGGCAGGGGCATACTAACCCAGTTTATCTGCCAGTAGCATTAGCTCTTTGGAGTTAACACAAGCAAAATAAAATCTCCATGAATTTCTGAGTGACAGAAATGGAGGATTTTCTGCTCCACCTATAGAAACTGCAACGTTTATTGAAATCTGTACTCTTAGAAACTGTTGCAAATATGACAGACCTCATACAAACAAGGTGAAGTGCTTTATGTGTCTGGAGTTTTCCTTAAAAATTGTTTTGCTCTTCTTATTTGCTATTCCTTGTTTAAAAAAATAAAATAAATAATAATAATTACATTTAATACATTGGAAAAAAAATATATAAGTAATCAACAATAACTGGTTAGGAAAAATGATTCTCTGGGTTGTTTAGATTTTTCAGTCATTGCATTATGTAATATACATCATTTTGAAGTAATACCTCTTGACTGTAGAGGAATTTAAAGGGACATGCATCACTTGACAATAATTTTTTTAAATCAGCAAGCAAACACTTTTAAACAAATATACAGACCTAAATAACTGAAGAAAAACTTTAAAAAGTACATAATAAATACACTTGCTCAAACTGCCTTATTGGGCATGTCTTTCAGCTAGGCTACTTTCTTCACACTACTCCACCCAGCACAGTTTCAGACCAGTCCACTAATGACAGAAAAAGGGGTTCATTGTGCAGCAGCAAGAAACCCAACACTGGAACCTGCTATGCATGATCACCCTGATCAGACTCCCTCTCTTCTCTCAATCTCTCTGTGAGTGGAAAGCATAAGAAGGAAGAAGCAGGTAAACATGAAAAACAACCATGTTTTACCTGCAGAGTGAAGCAACTATCTCATTCAAAGCTAGAGTTTTCAAATGAGACACTAAAAGGACACTCCAGGCACCCAGACCACCTCTGCCCATTGGAGTGGTCTGGGTGCCAACTCCCACTACCCTTAACACTGCAACTTTCATAAACTGCAATATTTACATTGCAGGGTTAACTCCTCCTCTAGTGGCTGTCTAGAGGGCTCTTCCTGGTGCTATAGCGTCGCTGGACGTCCTCACGCTATGTGAGGACCTCCAGCGTTGCTAAAATCCCCATAGGAAAGCATTTACAATGCTTTCCTATGGGGAGGTCTAATGCGCGCGAGACAGCGCATGCGCATTAGGTCTCATCCAGCAGGCGGTCGCGCATGCGCAAATGGTCTCCCACATCGGCTGACGTCGGTGGGGGAGGAGCGTGGGCGGACCCTAAACCACCGCTGAGGGACATCGGTGGTGGTCTCAGGTTAGTCACTGAAGGGGTTTTCACCCCTTCAGCAACATGGGATGAGGGGTGGGAGGGAGTGGGGACCTGCAGTGCCAGGAAAACTATTTGTTTTCCTGGCACTGGAGTGTCCCTTTAACTGATTCATGTCCGTTTAGTGTAAAAGTCATTACTATAGTCAGGCTTCAGATGTATTTTTCAAATTTAGATATTCTTTTATAAGTAGCCTGTCCCTCTCCACATAACTCATAACAAGCTGAGGTTGCACAGTATTAAGAACAAGTATGTGACTCATTTTATTATATTCAGTCAATTTAATTCTGCACTCTGAACAGATTGAATTCAAATGCATTGTGCTTCATTTGCCATTCAGTGAATGTAAAACATTACATAGGTATTTTGCTTTGGTGATCTGATACTGGATGCAGTGGCGCTGTAGTTTTAACTCTGCAATGTAAAATATTGCAGTTTTGTTGATAATGCTATGTTTGCATTGTAGGGTTAAATACACCTCTAGTGACTGTCTTCTTGACAGCCACTAGAGATGCTTCCTCTAAAATTGGCAAGTAAAACTTGGTAGTGTGATGTTGCATCTCATAGAAAGGCATTGAATTCAATGGCTTCTTGTTAAACGCACTTGGATGCCCTTGCGACCGTGCTCCATAATTGGCTGTTCATTTCCAGGTTTTATTCTAAATGAAATAAAGGCATACGTTGCTGTTAAACCGTTGTAACTTCGGTCCATGGGACACTTCTTGTTGAACCATTTTAAGTTTTCCCCCTACTTGTTCAACTTGGCAAAAGTGCTGAAAGCTCCATAGCTCTCAAAAAGTCACTTAATCTCATGGATGAGAAAAATGCCTGAACCATCCTATTCATCAGTTCTAAAATTCAGAACATAACAACAAATATGTTTGTATATATATACACATACAGATACATTTCTGTCAAAACTGATTAAATAGCTTTTTGTGGAAACATGCATTGTTATATAGGCTTTGTATAGAGGGCATACCAGTTCTGAAGCACGTATATAAAATCTTGTGTTCATTGTACTCAAATCATTGTGCTCAAATACAATAAAAGAATCAAAAGCATTTCTGAGAAAAATTAGCTTTGATGTGGGATGGGTTATTTAAATTAATCATTTGTGTATTTTCTGGTTCAACTGTTGTCTGGATGGTGAAACTTATTTTTCCTTGTGGGGAGTTAGTGGCAATGGACTAGCATAAAACACTACCTCCTAACAACAAGACATAATTTCAAACAGTATTTCTATAACTGGGCTCGCTGTGTGTATTAAAGCTTGGGAAGACTTGACGTTAAAAGAGCAATAAACCTGCATCACATAAGCAAGTACATAAGTTGCTTCAGAGGTCATCAGACAATTTCTGGAGATTAGCTAATTTTATAACATGACAGGAGGCTTCGTATTTGCTTTAGTTTCTCTTTACTAGAACTCCACAGCAGCACAGAAAAACAACCAATCAGAAAAAAGTTAGGTACTATAAAACTCCCCTCCCCATGCATCATTTCCTCTTTCTTTGCTGCTCTGCAGTCAGTACAGGTCAGAGTACCACTGCCTCCTGCTTATAGTTGGTGGCTTTGGGTTTTATTATTACTTATTTATGATTGATATTTACTATTCTAGTTATAATCTATATAATTTTTATACATATATATTTTTTATAATATTTAATTTTCATATTATATATTTATTTATATATATACTTCTTGTGTATTATATTTAATTTTCATTTTATATCTATTTTATGATATATATATTATGTTTAGTTATTTGGTTTGGGGTTACTGCCCTTTTTGCTGTCTTTGGGCTTCCTCTGTTTCTTTGAGGAAGTCCCTTCTAAACTGGTGGTTTTTATGGGGGGTTTACTGGGGATACCCTTCAGCTACCCCCTTTGTTTTCACCTCCCCCCCACTCTCTAGCGCCCCGCGGTTCCCTCCCAGCGGGCTACGGGCGCTTTGCTTGGGGTTTCAGTAGACTAGCATTTTGGCTAACTTCTCTGATCCCCCGAGCTCCAGGGTGAGCCTGCCGGCGCCCAGGGTATCTCGCAGTCGGGCGCGAGTACCCGACGGCTGGTCAACTCGCCGCGCGGCTGATTCCAAGGACCGTGTGCGTCCGACCAACTAGAGGAGGGTGCGCTGACTCGCGCCCCCTCCTCCTCCCTTGGTGGTCGGACATCGTGGTTTTTCTTCACCGCTGGGGTCTGGCTCTGTAACATGGCGCATACAGAGCCAGAAATCATGTAGCTCATCTTCTTTGATAGGGTTTTTTCACCTTACATGTGGCCAGTAGGGGATCGATGACCTGAGCTGATAATATGGCTGGGCCCTTCAGCCACTAACTCTCCTCTCATTATCTACCCCCTTTTAGGTCAAGAGTAAGCACACTATTGTATGTTATTTATGGTAGCTCAGTGGTTACAGACTAGCTCTGGGAATCTTCCTCCATGAGTTCAAATCCCCTGTACAGCAAGAGTCCAATCTGCTGTGTAATTACACCCTGGCTAGAGGAACACATGGATCAGGTGTGCTTATATATTTTTTTTGTTGGATTTTAAATTACACAAAGGACGCGTGAAGCTTTTATATTGCACAATTAGGGTCACGTTCCAGTCCCTATGCTTCGGTATATATGTACCTGGTCCATCCATAGAGACAGAGACCAGACTACTCTAGTAAGATAATCACTATCCAGGGCGAATATAAAAAGATAAGCAGACCTGGCTTTGGCTCAAACTGATATGAGGGGCCAGTCTATGCTGACACTAATTCTATTCAGATGGCATACTGATGAGACCTATATTGATGAAGAATCTCAAACAGGTCAGCAGCTTCATGTGCATAACCCATTCACAGTTATAAATTATCATGCTGTATGTCTTGATTTTATGGACACTATAATCACTGGAACATCTTCAGCCTGTATCCGCTACAGCTGGAATACCACTATTCTGCCTGCTGGGCATTTAGGGAATGCTAGTCCCAGTTCAGGTTTATTGACACAAGATTGCACTGTCAAAGGGGTTGGTGTCTAGGGGCCCTATGTCACCGGGTACCCTGAAGATTTACGGATGTTTGGGGGGACTCTGCCCGAGTGCAGTGGTCCTTTCTTACTCGTTCATACGCAACCCAGGATTGGCCTGCTATGTCTGTGCCTCTTTGATTGGCCTGCTATGTCTGTGGCCTGTTGATTGGCCTGCTATGTCTGTGGCCCGTTGATTGGCCTGCTATGTCTGTGGCCCGTTGATTGGCCTGCTATGTCTGTGGCCCGTTGATTGGCCTGCTATGTCTGTGGCCCGTTGATTGGCCTGCTATGTCTGTGGCCCGTTGATTGGCCTGCTATGTCTGTGGCCCGTTGATTGGCCTGCTATGTCTGTGGCCCGTTGATTGGCCTGCTATGTCCGTGATTGGCCTGAACCCCTTTTGGCCCTAAGTCTCGGGGAATAACACTGAAGAGTGCTCATCACCAACTATTGACATGGTGATAGGTGTCCAGGCAAGCTCTGCTGCCATACCATCCAAGAGGACACCAGTATACGAGCACTTAAGTATGATTGGAAGGGTGAAGGCCTAAACCTCATGCCTAAGGGACAAAGATTTTATGAAGATTCCCGGACACGCAACCACGGTTTACGCCAGTTCAGTGGCGGAACATCTCCAAGGAAAATTTCGCACATGCAGGGACCAGTGCTCGGACGCCAACAAGGTAACCGGTTTCCTTACCTTTCGCAACTAACCTTTTAGCTGTCTTTACGGTATCCATCTTAGGTATTGGTGGTTGGTCCTAAGTCCTGTTTACCTCCTGAGCCTTTCAGTTGGGTCTACTTGACTTGCTGTTCCTATCGGCTATTTACCTTCTCTCCGAGGTACGTATTTTCCGTTATCTACGTTTATCGTCATTTCTTGGTTGTCGAACCTTCCTATTGTTCTATTGCTCGGGTTGTCGGGAGGCCTGACTTGACCTCCTCTGACCTCCCGGGCTCTCATGGATTGCGGAGAATGTCTCCAGCTTTCCTCAGGCTACCGACGGTCCTCCTGGACCCCGCGCGCGCGATCCGGGTGGTCAGTTGGTAGTTTCCATCATTGTTTCTGAAGGTGGCACTTTCGCACCATCCCTTTCGGTTTATAAGGATGGACACGGCCCCAAGTTGTATACTTTTCCATCTGCCATCGGTGTGGTTTATCACCAGTCGATTCCATCTCAAGTGAATAATTCCGGAAGAGGTCTCGTGGTCAGAGAGAGACCCAGGATCTCAGTCTTATGCTGTTATTAGTATATGGTGTACCCCTACAGTCTGTCACCCTGAGTCTCTAAGGGACTCTAATTTGGATGACAAGAGGGTGCAACCCTCCATCACCTCGATCCGTGAATAATATTTTATTTTCACGAACAGAGAGCGAACCCCTAAAATATACGATACCGGACACTGATCTATTATTAGAGGGCGCGGCCCTCCCTAAACCTCAGCCCGATACTGAGCTGGATACAGAGGACAGGTTTTGAGTGACAAATTCCCGTGGAGAGAACTGGTCACGGAGGTGGACTCTGTTTGGTTATTAACGGGTGCGGCCCGCTCAGACTATCAGCCGGATGTTGACACGGAGTTCGGTCACACTATTAGAGAGCTCAGCTCTCTCATACACTCAACGCACTACGGTGCCGTCCATTTGTTCTTCTCACAGGCTTATACCTGTACAGGACAACGAGAACTGCATAGAGGGGCGTCCCTCCTGCATTCAATTAGATACGACCGTGCTACCGATTTCATTATAGAGGGCTGTCTGATCATACAGGATAGATATATTTGGACAGAATCCCTCCATTTCACCTCCTGTAATGGATCTACTGGATCCGGACCAGTGTACCAAAGGAGAGTAATACTCAGAGGTATAAAGGGGAGACTCCCGCTTATTTACACACACTCCTGGGGACGGTTCGTTTATCGGATGAACCTCAGGTTTTACAAGAGTGCGGGTTTTGGTATATTCTGCGCTACATAAAACAGGCAGTTGCATTCTATTTTAGATGTCAGGATAATTGCGACCAACTGCGCAGACAGTTTTTCCCATATCAAGATGACCTGAGATACTGAGACCTTCATGGAGCGAACTGGCACTGCCTTGTTTGGATAACAAGACTAAGGAGAACCCACTAACTGGTCTGCAGGCACACCGTACACATGGAAAGACCGGAAACCCCGGTTGACTTGAGTTCCCTGGTTGTTACAACCTTGGGATAAGATGACAGGATTGCCCCTGCCCTTCTGAACACATATCTGGAGAACAACCAATCAGAAAAAAGTTAGGTACTATAAAACTCCCCTTCCCATGCATAATTTCCTCTTTCAAGCTGCGACAAGACAGAAACAAAATACAGAAAATATAATGGGGAAGAAACGAAGTCCTAGAGATAATGAAAACGACCACATCCACCATCCGAGAAGAGCTGTTGAACCAGATAGTGTTGATGGACTGTAAACTGAAACGAAAGAAAGAGTCGAACAGGTTGGTTAGCCAATTAAATGTACTTTGAACTAGCACGTAGGTACCCAATGCAATAACCAAAACTTTTACCGCAACCTGCATAGATCCCAACCCTACTTATGAAAAACAGACATGAGAACAAGTGACAGGTAACAGAGAAAACAAGCAGAGTTGCATACATACCTGATGGACTCAAACTAATAAAATTAAACAAGGGAGGGATAAGAACGGGTGGGAAATACTCGCCTCCTGTCATTAATAAAATTAAGATTATAGGTACACTAAAGCTAGCATAATCTACAATTTTATAACATGCCAGGAGGCTTCATATTTGCTGTTTTAACGCTCAGTCAATAAATCCAACGCTGTTTTTCACTGGGACCTATTCCTGGTTCGGAGATGGAGGGCCCTCCGTCAAACTCTATATCCCTCACGGGAGTCGTCTTGGTTTTGGTTTCTCGCTAACCCGTTTGTTTCAACTACCATCGAGGGGACCTACGAGACTCTATGGAGATTCCCGGTGTGCCACGACTCCTACACAGACGTCAAAGTCAGGTAGCAACATAACGCTGTAGTACGGCTCTGGATGTGTAGCAGACTCCGTTAGGGCTGCCGACATTCTTAACGGGACAACACATGATTTGGATGGTTGAAGCTAGACCCTTGTTTTTCATTATATCTGCTCTCTGGAGTCATCTGTCGTGAGCGAAACGACTTTACGCCTTGCCTGCGTATTGTAGAACGCTATGTGTTCACGGGATTTCAGGCTAGGAAGGGAGGTATCCCTCTATGGGGAGACTTTGACTTCGGATATCAAACTCACATTTCTGGGTCCCTTGACTTAGGGCCTACTCTGTGGGATAAGTGCCAGAACTGTCAGAGGTACGGGGACCTATGGGTCTCACCATATTTTACCCCTATCTTGTAGGTGGCATGTAGACCAGAAACCTCTGCACAGGTTGGGTATGGAACAGGATCATACTGTGGGTAATCGGATTAGTTCTCTCACTACAAGACATGAGGACTCTTCGTTATTATACTGGTCCTAATCACCATTGGATGCGTATATCTTATCGCTTTCAGGCGATGACATATCTGGATGGAAATCTCAACTCTGGTTTACGTTTCCCATCCCTTTGAATATTTCCGGGACTCACTATTCCCAGAATAGTCGAACACCACACAAGTTCCGTTTGGGACCCTGATTGGACGTTCTTTTGGAGTCCTTTCTCTACCGCAACCGATGATAACACAGTCCATTTGGAATATTGGAATCTCTTAGGATACAGCTAGTTTGACCACACTCTTGACGGCATAATAAACTTATTCTCGGATGAGACATCTCACCGGGTAGGCCATGAGGGAACGGAAGATCCTACTTGGTTATATTACGGAATTGGTGGTGGACTTGGGAGCATTTCTTGGAATTGGAGATCCACCTGCAAGGACACATCGCCAGATGGCCCTGGCAGGATCGAACGGGCCACCTTACGCATCAAGAGTCGAGTCAGGCCGATTTCGTCTCGCGGCCCTAGGTCCGCAAATGACCTTCGACATTTTACAACTACAGGAAATGGCTAACAGGTCAGCTGGCAGCTCATAGACCGGTTACTAGGAAACCGGTTGCATTCCCACGTACTATGGATCTATCAGCGGATGGTGTTTTTTCCGTAATTAGGATGCTTCGTCAGCTGGCATCTTCATCAATCCGGTTACTGTCATTTATCGCAGTTGGAAAGTCCATTTAGGATTGCTCTGATATCTCCAG